CAACTAATCTTGAAGAAAAATTTAACTGTACTAATATTATACGGATTATGTCCGGATGAAGCAAAATTTGCATAACAAACGGTCATGATACCTAATAGCCACCCTATTGATTTATCACTATCCTTTCGCACTTCTTCGACTCTAATACTACGGCATTGTTGTTTAGGAGCAAAAGAAGAGGAATAGTTACTGTATTACTGAGAGAACGCACATAAAAATAAGGGAAATGAGGAGGAGGTTGGTATAATATAATTGGTTTAGGAGAAAGGAGAGAATGAGAAGGATGGTAGGTACATGATAAGTAGGAGCGAGTGACGATTATTGTTGCAAGAGAGTGGTAAACAAATGATATTGCACTATTGTGATACGGTAGTCTTATTATGTTTATATGTCAATGTTTGGCGTTTTTGTAAAGTTTTTCTTTTCATTCCACGTTTACTCGATCTTTACACGTATGCTTTGAAGGTCTTAATAAGGTCATAATAAGGTCCTTTAAAGATCACGCCATACTTCATTCACAAAATCTTGCAGATCAGAATTTCAAATTTTCAGATATGCATTATTTGCATCATATTAAGAGGCTGTTGAGATATTTTCTAAATAATATAATTTAATGTAGATGCTTGGTTCCTAAAATTTTGCCTTGTTTTGTGATGGAGAAACTTCTACCGTAGCTGTAATGAAGCAGCCTAAAATGAATGTTCTTCAAATCAATGAAGTGGCTTCAGACTGATAAACAATTACGACAAAATTAAGTATTGTTTACGATTCTTCAGCCCGTCTTAAAGGAAGAAAAGACAACACGATGTCATGATGCTGACCAATAGTATTTCCAGATTCAATGAGAGTACCTTTTGAATGATGGAAAATGTGGTAGCAGTCGGTGTCGAAAATGTTATATATATATAAGCTATCAAAATGGTCCCCCTGACCTTTTATAATTAACAAGATTCCTTTCTTGGCAACTTTTGATCCAGTGGAATTAAATTAATTCCTTTTATTTTTCGAGAAGTTTTTCTATCTTTTCTTTGGCCAGGTGGTAGGTATCTTCCCGATCGTGGCACCAAATAAATTGTTGTGAATGTGCTTTTAGATATGTGTACAGATAATGGATGAGTTTTGACGAAAATTTTTTTGATCAATGGAGAGTTTGTTCTTTTTGAAAATTTTAAGAGAATCATTATCGAACATCACAGAATAGAGTAAGGACTACTGGTATGGTGGATGAGCACTACTTGCAGTTTTTAAGGATTCAAAGATCAAAGAGAGCTGGTAACGAATCATTTTAAGACCTTTTGATAAATGAAACTATTATTCAAAAAGCATTTGAATTCAAAGGTCAGGAGAAGTTAAATGAATTAGAAAGAATTATTTGATAAACGAAGTTTACTAGCAAATAAAGAGTCATTTTAAATAGAATATTTTAGAAAAACAATTTCTGCAGTTTTTTCTAAAATTTAGGGCCTTTTTTCAAGTTGAATCAGTTTCACTATGCTATTTGTAAAGTCTTAAATAAATTTATCGTACGATCATAATAGTAAATACTGTATCCATAATTTTTCAGGAAATTAAATATTAAAATACCGGTTTAGATTTTGTTAAAAAAGATGTAACCTATTTATCACAAATCGACTTGAGTGGAAATTGTACTCTTTGTAAAAATTGGTATGTCATTTTAAATCCCGCAATCGCTAAAAATATGAGAAATTTGAATTCCTTTGACCAGAAGCATTTTTAAATTTTTTTTAATCGATAATTAATTTTAAGAATTGAAGGAGATTATCGATAAGTATTACTGTATAAAGTGGCTTCATTCGAAATGCGGCATTATGATAGCCATAAATAATTTTGTATTAGTATAAAACAACGTGACTTAACTTTTTTAGCATCAGAAAATTTATTTCACTAAATTTCAATTCAATCGAAATTTAAATTTGTCAAATGTAACAATAACAAATTCATATTAACGTTTATAATACTAAAACAAAGTATTTGCATATTTCAGATCTTCTTTTATTTTTGCAATGAGATTGCAATAATTTCAGAATAATAAACATTTACTTCTGAAATATAATAAAATAATTCGTTATCAATGCAATCCAACTTTATCAAGATAGTATATCTCGAGATGGATCAGGTTGGTATCATTTATTATTTACTTGGGAATGAAATTTGAATTGCCTATGAAGTTTCAGCATATTTTAAAGGAATTAAATGTTTGAACGGCGTTTTACACCATGAATCGCTTTTTGATTCAGTACTTTGCAGTAGCAGATATTGAAAAGACTATTCTACAACTGGAGTTACTCCCAGAGGAAAGAAACTGTTACTTTGATTAAAGGATATTCGAGTAAGGTAGCAGAAGATAACATAAAATATTTCGATTTCAACGAATTTCGTTTGTAATAATATCATCCCTTTTTTTGCTTTCAGCTACTTTTAACCATCACTTGGAAAACTATGGAATTAAAGTTGCTCTCGAAGTCAGGAAGAACTCCGACAATGTTATACTATTCAACCAGGAGAACCAATGAAGCTTTTATAAAATATGAAGAAAATTCATTTTTAAAGACGCTTCAATAAACGTTTCACTATTAGAGCAATACAAGTAGAACTGGGGGTAACTTATCTGTTGAACGCGGATAGATATAGCAAATGCTATTTCATGTTTGAATATCGAGGACTTGAATTCCTTTGAAGAAATACTATCACGTGACGTGATAGCTGATTTACTGCTACACAATCAAGGAGACCCTACACAATAATAACAGGGAATTTCTGACACAAAACGTGAAATAGCACAGTGTTAATAAATTAATTTCATATTAAGCAGTAGGGTGATACGGCATATCAGATTAACAAAATACATAAAGCGTTTGAAAATACAGTACCTAAAGCGTTTGAAAATACAGTATGGCAAAAATAATGGGATGAAAAGAATATTTCTATCCATTCGACCACTTTTCTCATCACTTATAAATTCTTCCTTTAAATTGAAAATGATTTTGTGAAAGTTATAAAAATGTTCGGAATTATAATTTACTATGTTCAATTAAAATTCATCAAATATTAAATAGCATTTTATCACATAAACATCGTTTCGATGTTTTGCTATGAATTATTGGAGAAAATTTTGTTCGTACTTTTAATTAAAATGTTATATTATAATAATTACTATATGATAAAGCGAAGAAAGTTTGTTACAATTCAAACCATTATTTCATTCATCATTTCATGCCAACATTTATCTATCTTTCATTAATACTTTTTGTATATTCAATCCTTCATCTATTTTACTTCTTATCTGATAAGTTACCGAATAGCTAAGTGATTTTACCTTCCAATTTTTCACTTATTAAATATTGATAAGACTATTACCATTCAGTAATTTACACAGGCTTTTAAAACATAAATTTATTCTTATTATTAATTGGTATTATTCGTTTATTTAAAATGAGTAGATTACGATGAAAGCTTATGACGAAGGCATTCCACTAAAACTTGAATATAAACAAACCTATAAATTAATGTATAAAAGTAACAAGTTATTTTGAAAATTGCATTCATTTAGTCCATAAACTTAGTTTCTAATTACTTTCTCTAATGGCTCTAATTTTAATGATGTATATATTTTTTTATATGGTACATTAAGTTATTCCCTTACATCAAAAATAGAAAATATATAAATCATCAAAACTAAGGCCATTGGAGAAAGTGTATACACACTTATTCACATACAATATAAGTGGTTTTCATTACAATATGATATAATATTGTTTCTGAAATAAATGCAGCAGAAAATTCAATTCTGATATAGAATTAGCAGTGTTGTCAGCGATCAGAAAAGAAATTTCAAAAAAAGACAAAGCGATGAAAGAATCCACAAAATGTTTGTCATCAATTGGTTGCGATGAATGTGGAAAATTTAAAATTCAATTAAAATTGTTGCTATTGTAGTCTGACGAATTTTTCAAATTCTTAAGAGAGCAGTGATTTTGGCACGCGTTTTATTTCAAAACTTTTTTCTGCTACGTTTTCTTTGAACCATACATTTCAATTTCTTAATTGATTCCGAAAATGCAACTGTTCATATAAGGTTATCAGGAATTGTTAGCTGCAATTCCAAATTTGATGACTAGTGACCTCTAGATTTAATCAATTGTAATTTCAGGGGTTTCCGTGAATTATCATCACCGACATATTTCACCGCCTTAATTCCCGGATGTTTGGCAAATGTGTTTTTTTACGGAGCAATATTGGTAAATTTGTTAATTGCGGTGAATAGATACTGCGCATTTGCATATCCTCTGAACTATCACTTTTATTGGACCGTACCGAAAGCTCGCTGTGCGGGAATTATTGTCTATTTCTTCGGGTTTCTACTATGTTTGCCTAGCATTTTTGGTAAAGCTTTTGTAAGTTCATGCAAGAGAAAGTAAATTATCTTATCATGATCAGTGGAACAAAATGATTTATCAAGATTATAATTTAAAATTGTAAAATTTGGTTGTCGAACGGTAGGATCTTTTGTTTACAGAACCATGCACCCTTATTTTTAGTACGGAAATGGATTTTCGTTGGCATTGCAGCAACACGGGTTGCGGTGACATAAATTCGATGTTCGACACAGTGTTCACTGTTTCGATGATGAACATAGCAGGATGTATCGACTTCATGACGTTTTTGTGGATTAGAAGTCGCAGTGAAGTTACCATTTGCTATTATTTCATTAATTATCTTCGATAAGAGCTTGCAATTAATATTTAAATACATTTTAAATAAAATACTTTTTAGTTTAAATATAAAACACTTTTTTAGTTTAAAGAAGGGGTATACAAACATTGGAATTATCGGATGAATAATTAAATTAAACAACAAGTTGTGATAAATATTATAATTGTCAAGTTCAAAATAATTTATCGCACTGCTATAAATTGTTTATTCGTTTCCAGTCGTGTATCAGTGGACTTGCAATGATCATAGCTGCTCTTGTGTTTAATATTGGTCAACATTATCTGACAAATAAATGGGCTTTATTTGCTGTCACGACAATTAATTGCTTAGTAACAATTAATTGCTAGTTGGATAGGTGAGTTTTCTGCCATTTACTAGAAGTCTAAAAACAATTTGCTTTCCTCCATTTTTCTTTCATCGTCATAATGCAACAACTCCCAGTGCACTTATAGAAATGAGTCATCGATTTCATCGATTTCTTTTACGTTGTGATGTTATATTAAGTTCAATCTAAATATGATTAATGTTCGGTAAGTAAGTGCTGGAGCTACTTAAAGTTTAACGAAGTTTATTCGCAGATTTATTGTGTTGATCTTCAACCGATATTACATATATGAATGGTTCTCGGTGAACCGTGCGAGTTGTGACCAGACGAAATCACAGAATTGCAATCTTTCCGATTCCACTAAACATCTTGCTTCGTTTAGTTACAATATGTTCAGTTGCAACAGTTTTACATAAATGCTATTATAACCTGCACAATAGTCTCTTTCCCGAACTGTTTGAGAGTTCCCGGAAAATTCCACAACTGTACCTTACCAAAATTCAGTTATATTGTGGAATTTTCCTACTTTAAATGCTTGACTATTGAAGGATCGCCTTGATTTGATATCTAAATTAACTTGAAATGGTACATTCTATAATTTTTTTGTTTTCTTATCTTGGTAAAATTTATAAAATTTTCGTACAGTAGTAATCAGAGGAATTATACAAATATCACTTTAAGATTTAAAATCATTTTATTTGGGTAGTTCAAATTTCAAATTGTGTTGAACTTTGGTTTTTGCCACAATAGCAACAAATTGACTTTTCACAGGTAACGAGAAAAATAAAAAGAAACGGAAATGTGATAATGCAAACCGTTTTGTCCTTTGCCAATGCAAAAATTATGTGTATTTAATTTCTTTTTTCCGTAAATGTTCTTTTCCGGAAATATTCCTTATGGTATAAAAAAAATTGTGAGAAGGCAGCTAATCAGCCCAACGAAGAGTAATTGTTATACTGACGGAAGGGCGTGAGAATTGTTGCACTGATGTTGTAATTGTTGAAGAGATGTGCAAGAATTTCGAAGCATTCAATGATCGATTTGCTCAACATATCATCAGTTAAAAATTTTTGTATTATAATGGATGTTCGAAAAATTGAGATGAAAATTTAATAAGAGATTCTTTTAATTATGGATACAGTATTAAGACATTATTATGATCATATGATTAACTTATTTAAGCTTTTACAAATACATATGATAGTATAGTTAAACTGATTTAAATTAAAAGAAAGGTCGTAAATTTTATTAAAAACTGTTTTTCTAGAACATTCTCATTCAACAATTTTTGTTTGTTAATAAACTTCATTTATCAAATGATTCTCTCTTCATTTAGCTTATTTATTTAACTTTTCCTGACCTTTGAACTCAAATGTTTTATGAATAGCACGTTTCATTTATCAAAAAGAAATACATGCCAACAAAGCAAGTAATTAGAAATCAAATTTGTAGGTTTAGTTCATAAAATAGTTCATAGGTTTTTTATATGCAAGTTGTAGTGAAATGCCTTCGTCATAAGCTTTCATCGTAACCTATTCAATTTAACTATATATATATCAAATAACGATAATAAAGAATTTGCATTTCAAAAGCCTGCGGAGGTCACTGAATACGACAATAGAAGAGAATAATGAAATGAAAAGAATATTTCCATCCATTCGACCACTTTTCTTATCACTTATAAATTCTTCCTTTAAATTGGAAATGATTTTCCTTCATAAATTTTCTAATTATCCCAATCAATCCGAGGTTTCTATCATTTAAGAGTGAATGGAAACAACAAGCTATTTGGATAATTTGAGAATGAATTTTTACCGTAATAAATCTGCTCTCCTTAATGCATGCTTTTCATAATTGTTTCTCTTTTTTATTTTTGGCAAATTTAATTTCACACTTTCTCTCTCTATTTCTCCTTCTCTCTTTTGTCGGATTTTCCAATTTGTTGAATTATCCAATGATATCATCAATACTTTGCACTATGTACAATGAAATAATTCTTTATCAATCGGGAATCTCTATACTTTTACCACGGGAATACGGAATGTCGGAATGTTACGAAATAGACTAATTTGCAATCCTACCCTATCTTAATATTAAGTGCTATCAAGGTGTATTTGGCGTCATACTAATAACTTGATATTCCTTTTCTCTACACCCTCTTCCAGTATTTTCCATCCCTCTTGTTTGCAGACATTTATTGCTACGGAATCAACTCACTTCATTTCAATAAAAACGAAGCACACCGGGCCGGAATAACCTTCATCTCTTCATAAGCATCACTGTATCTTAACCTTGTCCACATTATTCTTTCTCTTTATTTCTCACATGACAGCCCAAATTATTTGTGAAACTGCAAAAATGATCAGAATTGTAATTACTATGTTCAATCAAAATTCATCAAATATAAAATAGCATTTTATCAAATAAACATCGTTTCGATGTTTTGCTATGAATTATTGGAGAAAATTTTGTTCGTACCTTTAATTAAAGTACCTTTAATTAAAATGTTATATTATAATAATTACTATATGATAAAGCGAAGAAAGTTTGTTACAATTCAAATCATTTCATTTATCATTTTATACTAACATTTATCTATCTTTCTTTAATAAATTCGGTATATTCAATCCATCACCCATTCATCTCCTTATCTGATAAGTTATCGAATAGCTAAGTGATTTTATCTTTCAATTTTTCATTTATTAAGCATTGATAAGACTGTTGTCGTATTCAAAGACCTCCACAGGCTTTTAAAATGCAAATTCGTTGTTATCGTTATTTGGTATTATTCATTTAGTTAAAGTGAATAAGGTTACGATAAAACCTTATGACGAAGACATTCCACTACAATTTGCATACATACAAACTCATAAATGAGTGTATACAGGTGGCAACTTACTTTGAAAATTGATTCAGTCCATAAATTTGATTTCTAATTACTTACTCTATCGCCTTTAATTCTAATGATTTATATATTTACTTCTTTTGAGGGATAACATAATGGTACATATATATGCAATTATATATACACAATATTACTGGTTTTTCATCGCGATAATATGTTATTTTGAAATAAACATTGCAGAATATTCAGTCTTGTGATACACTTGACTTCGCCTTCAGCAAACAGAAAAAAAATTTCAGAAAAGGCAAAGCGATGAAAGAATCCACAAAACGTTTGTCATCAATTGGTTGCGATGAATGTGGAAGATTTAAAATTGAATTAAAACTGTTGCTATTGTAGTCTGACGAATTTTTCAAATTCCCAAGAAAGCAA